TGCTGATGCCGAGTGTGACTGTAGAAGCCTACACCTAACTGTAGGGGTTATTTCCACTGATAGATGGTTATGTTCTGGACAAGACACAATGCTCTGTGCTCAGGTCACGAGTTCATCGGTGGAGTGACGCACGACAAACGGCATTTCACACTTGTATAGGCCGTCCGGCAGGCTGAGTGAGTGGTGAGGAGGAGCAGTAATCACAGCAGTAATCACAGACCCACACGGAGTCGGAAACCTTTTAACTGTGAGGCCTCAGTGTCATGGTGTCACGCCCACTCGAGCTACGCACTGTCAACTAAAGTATGGATGAAGATGAAGCGGCCGACATGGCAACATTACACACTTGCTCTACATTTATTTAACTCTAACATGGGAGGCAGGGAAGAATTGAGATGCGCTGATTTTTGCTCCTACTGAAATGTTGGCTCAGATTTCTGTTGTAAGAATTTAGTACACGAAATGTCCTAGTTAGGTGAATATTGGAGAAATTCTTTACATTATCTCTCCTGCTACATGTTAGGGGCACAGAAGCATAAATCCAATTAATATAATACATGTTTAATTAACAATTTATAGTAGGACATTTTTAGAGCAATGCCTTCCATTCTGATAATTAATTTACTTATGGGGTACAAAACGCAATTATTTTGTCTACTGTATATATGATAAATTGCTTAAGCATATGCTTATATTATTGAGGATTTCGAATTAAAACAAAGGGAAAGAGCATTGGCAAATACTGAAATGTGTTGCACGGTTGTATATCCTGTGTTTTTTCATCTCCACATTTCTCACAAACTCTCAATTTTTACAGCTAATCAAATATTTCACTTTAACTAGCTCTGGCTTCTTCACAATCCATGTAGGCTGGCAGCTTCTAATACAACCTTAACGAATTGAGATTGCACGTTTTTGGTGAAGGCCTGCGCAAAGAATGGGGCGTTGTTGCATGGGGAGCAAGAAAGCAATAAATAAGTGCATGAAAAAGGCAGAGCTGCAGTCAAATGGAGTGAGGTGCCTCCAGGGGCTTTCTCTGTCAAGTGCTCTGTATAAATGTCCATGAGAGAGTATTCTGTCCTATCGCCCGCTGTTCCTGCTGCACATGCGTTCATCAATGGCCCTGATGTAGGTACCATGACAAGCTTTGCTACTTAAGGGACCATTGAGCATAGGCCAGAAGGAGGCCAGGTCACAGCACTTGCATAGGTTTAGTTACATAATGTGCAAATGCAAAATACCTGTTCCCATCATGAGTAGAGTTAAACAATATTGTGTTATTGCCGATAAACACGGTTGATAAAAGCTATTCCTTTCTCATTTAATGCAGTACTTGGGCAGATAAGGTATTTTTCTTGTTGACATGAAAATACTTTCAGAATGGGATGGGGGAAATCAGGGCAAAAATTTAGAGATGGTAAGTAAAGGAAGGTTTCTCACCCATCATCTGTACTTCTTAGCAAGTTTTCCCGACGTTTCGTCCTCAACCTAGCGGACTTCTTCAGGGAATGAATTCTCGGACCGCGCGTTGAAGATTTATAACCTATGGGTGTGGTTAGCCATGGTAAGTAGCGAAGAACTTATTTATTATTGTATAGTTTAGTAGATAGATACAGTAGATAGATACTTTATTGATCCCTGTAGGAGAAATTCAGGTGTCCAGTAGCAGCAAAAATAAAATTGATCATTATAAAAAATTTAATAAGCAGCAGCAGAGGTGGAGTAGTCACTGGGTGGAGCAGGACAGGTGGAGTAGCTGCTTGGTTTGGACCATTTTCTCTGCTCTTGTCCAAAGTAAAATGTTAAATGCTTCATTAGCATTTTTCAAAAAGTTAGCATTTCTCCAGTGGATTTTCACCTGATCCGCTTAGTTCCAATCATGAATCCTCTCTGCTCCGGTCTGGACCAGTGTAAAACCATGAACACTGTACTGCAGCAAAATGTCAGGTAGAAAAAAAGCAATAAAAATAAAAATCATAATTTTTATCTCTGTCCTATGCAAGTCCTATGTAGCTCTGTTTCAGAGCTACATAGGACTTGCAGCCGTTTTCCAGTGGATTCAAAAGTAAACATTTTCAATTCCAATTATTTTGTATTGCCCTCAATCACAACAGTAGTTATACCAGAGGACTTTACACAACTGTTTAATTCACCAACATAGATCAGAGAATGAAACAGTTTGATATAGTATTCAATTCTGCTCAAAAGGAGTGGGCTGAAGCAAAAAGCTAACGAGCATCCCCACCCCCAAACTTGAAAATTACAGGCCGAGGACACAAGACCACAGACACAAAAGTCTCATCAATCATACGTAAAACCGGAGTACCTAACTTTTAAACCGCAAACATTTTAACAACGTAGAAAAGGCCTTGTCTTTAGTTCCTTAAGTCATATCTCCAGTTTTCAACTCTGCTCTTTCTTACAAGTATGCAAAAGATAACGTGCTTTCTAATAAGATGACGACATCGTGTTGTGGACTGAGATGTTCACACACATTTACTTTTACAAGAGTCTTATTGGAACAAACACGTCACTTTACTGAGGAAAGGTTATAGGTACCCCAGTGATATTAACTTTCGGTCTTTAATGTTTGCATCTGTAACTTGGCCTATAAAGAGTTATCTCTTTAGGGATGGATTTTTATTTTATCTTGTACTTTGTATTATTGACTTCAGTTCTCTGGTTTCTATGTCTTCATTGTCTTTGCTTCTCTTTGTCTGGCTATGTTCCTGAGTTTTGTTTGGTTTTTTTGATTTTCGTTTTTACCCTGGACTTTTAATTCCTTATAATCATTCAAATATTATTTTTGCATTCCTGTGTTTTGAGTTATCTTCACCACATGAAAATCATGATAAAGATACAGATAGTATACTTTTTATCTTCTTCATGTTAGAGTTAGAGATTTTTATTTAGTATTGTTAAATAAAATGAAATATTTCACAAGAGCCAGTGAACTCTTTGTGTCAAATAGAGTAGAGTCTTTGGAAGCTGTCTTGACAAATTGGACGTTTAAGTTTATATGTCGCCTGAGCAATAAAAAAAATTCTGTGATTATTCTACAGTCCAGTGTTGTTCCACGTTGCTGCTTTGGAAACATTGCCTCTTGAAAGTTTAGAGGTTTGTATTGTCTGTTGTTTATTATTATTTTATTTTTTTCTTGTCTGTGTTGATCTGGACCATGAGTCTGCAAATAAAGTTATCTATCTATCTCTTCTATCTATAGAGTTATTGCTATTTTATCTTCTGCTGTTTGCTACTCATTCCTACTGTTGTGTAACTGGTGATGCAGCCCCCCCCACTTTCCACACTGTGGGACGAATAAACGATCCCTTAATCTCATCTCAACAGTCCACGTATAACATCCTTTAGCAAGTAAATGTCATTTCCGCCGGTGCTGCATGCAGATCCTCTGACACAGAGAGGCTGGTCAACACCACAGCCCACAAACCACACTGAGGCCCACCATTCACAATTACAGTCCCAGCGTCTGCTCACAGCCAAACTCAATCTGTGACGGAAGCAAGGAGCTGTGAACGCTGGAACATTTGGAAACACGCTGGCTGTTTCCTTTGCTTTTCGTAGATGCGGCTAAAGGCTTGTAATCATTTCAACACGAATCTTCCATATGCTCCGGGGAGAGCGACGTGGGCAGCTCCACAAGTGCCTCTGAGATTTTAGTACACGGCACTCTCACTGATTTCTCAAAAAGTCTTCATGAATGTGCAAAAGGAGGGAGCAAATAAAACATGTTGTACCTATTTACAAATTTACAACAGCTTCTGTACAGTGTGACTTCATACATACTTACAAATACTCAAGGTTACTCAACAAATTATTTTCTAGTGTTGAATGTTAAATGTATCACACAATTTTGAAAATACATTATGGAATTTAGTAATACATATGTATATATAGTATATATAGTAGTATATATACATGTGTTAAAGAATAATTACAGTGGAAATCAGAGTGGATTCTGATTAATTATGAAAACATTGAAAATGGCTTAGCTTAAGAGTAAGTTTCTGTATTTTTCATTTAATTCTAATATCTACTCATTATCCTCATGGTGTGGATTTTTTGTTATTTTGTACTTTGTTCTCTGGTTTTTTCTTTTCTAGTCTTGCAACAATATGAGTAAGAGGAAGAAGATATCAAAGATGCATAATTCATGTCCCCACAGAGAAAAGAGGTGGGATTTGAAATGGTTTTGCTTCTTCCCACTCCTGTTAAGCTCGTTTCTTTGTACTTGCAGCATATGTATTATCTTTCCTATATAATTTTGAACAATCTCCATGGATATTGTTGCTTGTAGAAGCATACTTGAGCTTACACTTGCAAGTTTTAAATGTGTCTACTCAAACGATCAATAATCGTGTTTCAGAGATCATCAAAAGCTGTATCTCGCCAAAAAACAGGTAAAGCTGAGTCTGATGAACGTGGGTCTAATTACTCAGAGCTTGTCGAGACACAACAGTTGCCGCCTGGCTTGATAAATCATCTTCCTTGAGCCTAAGTTTATTGCAGCTGTTATTAGAGACAGATGAAATGACAGATAGTGTTATGCATTACCTAGGGCGCCACTAGAATCTCTGCATGCCTTCCACTTTATATTCTGGACACACACACACAATGCACGCACACATACACACACACACACACACACAACGTTGCATTTTGCCTCTATCTTAGCCAGGCTGATTGATTAGATATTGAAAATGGTCTGTCAGCGTGTTTTGGAGAGGTACTCATCTGATAATGAATGCAACACCTTGGCTCGCAGCTAATTAAATTACAGACACAACTTGGTGGTGCCGTCTCACTCGTTTGTCCCACCGGAGCACAAGCGAAGCGCGACACAGGCGACCACTTCATTCTCGAACTCCAAAAACAACTGCCTAAAGATTTCCAATGTCCATTTACGCACACTCTGGGAATGATAATCTAACTTTTACCAAGTACAGAAATAAAGTAGCAGTCGCACTGGGTTACAAGGCTACCTGATCGGCAACGGCTCGAGCCAATTTGTCCATCCGAGAACCGGCCTCTGCAATCTTCTTAGCGGCGTTGATCACATCTGAGGAGTTCTTCAGGGGTCCTTTCCCTCTGGGCGGGTAGAGTGTGAAAAGAGGAGAGAAAGAGAGAAGACATGGTGGGTGGAGTTGTGGAAACAGGGACAGGCAGACTACACTTTAAAAGACAGTTTTCGCCTTGTGTCACAAAGGCTGCCGCCAGCTCGCTAATTTGCTAAGGCTGGCAGGGGGCATATGAGACTCTGCTATCGAAGGAGAAGACAAGATTCCCCAGATAATAGGTGGAACAAAATATCCCATGCCTTTAGTGCGAGTGATATGGCACACAAAAAATCCTTGTGAGAATAGGCTGTATGTTCTCTCGGCTTCTTTCGGCTGGTATTTTTCTCGAATCGCTTACAATCTTCTGTGTGTGCAGAGTCACTAAGCAATAATAGTTTGCCGACTCAATAACTACAATCACTCAAGACTAATCATTGGCAGTGATCTTTGTATGATTTTGGTTCATCTTCTGCCTTGTAATTATTGTGGATCCCATGATCAGAGTGATAACTATAAGGCAGACATGAGGGCCTTGGATATGCACAGTCCAGATGAAGAGATTAAGAGAAAAGCTGGTGGCTTTGAGTAAACACTCAACTATAGATACAGTATATCAGGAGATCAGAACAGAGCGGTGTTGTCTCAGTGAAACAAAGCTTGTCTGGGTCACTCTATAGCCCCAGACATAACACTTTCAGCATTCCGATCAGACTCCACACAAAATCATGTCCACTTTCAGCGTTAATGAATGTGAAAAGCGGCTGAAAAAGCAGTTTATCTAAATATACATTGCTTTTGTGTCATAAACGAGTCCTCACAATAAATTAGCATCTTCATTTGAGTACGAATACACTATTATAATTAGTTTGAGCCTGTGTGTGTGTGTGTGTGTCTTGTTTTGTATAGATTTACCATATGATATTCTGTTACTGTTTTTGTATTGCTCTTCATGACATTTTTGTTCCTTATTGTCCCTGTTGTGAGTGGGTGAGGGATTCGTTTAATTTAGCAACACACAGTCGGAAAAACAGCATGAGGCAGGACAATTCAACAAATACTAACAATGCAAGCACAAAAGTACAGACAAGACAGGGGAATACATTAATTGAACACAAACAAAAGAAAAGAGAGAAGAAAAAAAAGAAAAAAACTGAGGGGGCATTGAAAGTGTGTGTGTTGTGTATGTGTATGAGCGTATAGTGTAAGAATGTGTCAGTGGAGTGAAGTGAGCATGCACGTGTGTGTCTCAGTTCATGTGTTTGTTGAAAATCGACTCAAGATTCATTATACACTGGATATGATGAGAACTATACACAAAAATGGAAATTGGAGTAGGTCAAGTACTGTCAAGAAGAAATGAAAGAAATAGTGGTGGGAGGATTGCGGATATAATTACCAAAACAACAACAACAATCGTTATGGTGTGGCTTTTGTATTTTGTACTTGCGTCTTTTCTCTTGGTGTTGAGTGTTTATGTTGTGTCTGAGATGCATTTTAAAAACAGCATGAGATTCATGGGTTTGTATTTATTTTGAAAAGAAAAGCCTGGGTAGATTATATTAACTATAATCTTAACATATAATTAAAGTATAGATACACACAGACATTGTCACCCACAACAGCAGCAATAACAAATATTAATACTATTGGGATTTTTTGTGGTAAAATTGTCGGGTTGTACCTTTTGATTTGGCTGTGAAATGCTAATGGTGTCTCAGCTGACAGAAAATAAAAATCCAGGCTGATTCAGATGTATTTACGGCTTATCAGATGTATTTACGGCTTATCAGTGTCCCGTGCCTCAAGCAAAACAACGGCATGTATTTCTCCAGTGTATGGATTGCTGTGCAGCTGCGCACACAGGCGAGTAAAATCAGTTTTACTTTCTCACATGACGAAAGATCATCTGCCTATCATCATACAAAGCCCACCCTGACAATTTGATTGGTCTGGAAAGATCTCATTCTGAGATATTTCTGCCCCAGTAGAGCAGTGCCAGACCGAACTTCGCACTGGAAAATTATGTCCGGGGAGGGCTAGTGTTAAATTGAGCATGCAAAGTGAAATAACAGGTTAAATGTTACGGTTTAGTTCAGGGGTGTCAAACTGGAGTGTCAAAGGGCTGGTGACGATGCAAGTTTTAGTTCCAATTTGAGCAGGAGCACACCAGACTCCACCCATTTACTCAAATCGTCAGGTTAAAACTGACCTGGATATGGGAAGAGTCTGCTCTTGCTTGGGTTGGAACTAAAACCTGCATCCACACCCGTTGTGGAGGGGTTCGACACCTGTGGTTTAGTTATCTGCATGTGCCTGCACACAAACCCTTGACAAATGTAGTCCCTGATGTGATTATCAGGTAAAACAATCCATCCAACCAGTATTACAATACCTGGTGAAGTCTGTCATCTCCATCATGATCATGCACATCTGCTTGGCCAAAACAATGATGTCGTTGCCATTGTCGTCCCATTTGGCCACTTCAGCATCCAGCTTACACTTCTCCTGTCTGAAGCTCTCCACCTGCTCAGCGATCTTGGCCTTCTCCTCCTGAGGCAGCTGTGCCATGATGGCCTACAGGGTCCACACACACCCACACAGTGACAGAAAGGCACAGAGAAACACCTTGTTAATAAGGACATTCGTGCGGAATAAATGAGAAAAAAATGCAATTTAAGGTAAAGATAAGTTTGAGAAGAGTTAAATGGGAAAAGCCTGAGAAAGAAAGGGATTAGTAGGAGAGCGGCAGCATAAAGGCAATGTTATAAAGGCCATGGCTCCAGCTCTCTTAGTTCAATTTTTCAGCCTGGCGTGTTTTTAATCCGCCCTTAACAAAAAACTTTCTGTGGTCTCAGAAAGACTTCAAAATAAACTCTTAAACTTTACATTTAATGACGGGCCCCACTTCAAAGCCCCTGACATTCCATTGCCATGAGAGCAAATCCATATATAGCATTCGCTTTTTTCCCCACTGGAAGAATACATTGGCAGTGCGACCTATGCAGCCTTTAGGGGGCAGGACCAAAATGGCATAAATCTTGTGGCAAGGTCAGAGCACACTAAGGACCCAGTATTATTTGGGAGATAAATGTATAATTACCTTCTTAGAGCGGAGAATGAATAATGCATTTGTTCAACATTATGTCAGGAAGGTGAGACGGAGAGAAGAGTAACCCTGTTTCCATTAGGTCGATTCTATTGACTCCACAGGCACAGGGAGAAAATGAGTGTGGTATAAAAAATCCAAAGCCATTCTTGTTTTTTAACCTCATCTATTATTGACTGTCCTCCAACAAGTGCGACTTCCTTAATAAAATAATCGGCCTTGTCTTGTTTTTTTTCCCTGGCTAAGCTTTGCTCTGTTGAAGTTAAGCTGGTGAGAGGGCTCATCTTAAACCAAGTGTGCGTCACTGATTACAAATAACACAGGGGGAACGTTTGAATAAAAAAAAAAGATTGAAGGTTGATGTTTATACATTATGTATATCATGTGTTTGGTTTGGCTCCTCAGAACGTAGTCCATAGCGGTATTATAGACATTAAATGTTAGGGACCTTATTTTTAAACAGCAAAAAATGGAACAGCTTATTTAAAACTTACTGGATAGTTCTTGAAACAATTTGGTACATCCCAAGTTCTCACATGGAAAAGCTAGTTTTGACACAGCCATGTGTTGGCCTTTATCACAGCTCTAGAACTGCTTATCGCAAAGTAGAGATACAACAAATATCTCTGTAATTGACTGTGTTTACAACTCACAACTGAAAACTGGATCCTTCACCTTCTCCAATCCAATTGGATAGAGAAAGAACATTGAGGAGTAAACATTAAAGTGCTACAACCACGTATAACGGATCCTATTGAGACAATGGCAGCGATGCATTTTTATGAGCACAGGGAAAAGCCATGTTTATTAGAAATGTATATATATTGGGATGCAAAAAGACTAATTTTGATCATTGCAATGAAGTGCAGTCCCACATCACACGTGTTTGCATGATTACGTTTGCCAAAAGTGTGCTTTCACAGTATGTATAACAACAATTGTATTTACAATTACTGTTCCAATGTTAAAAGGAAAGTTACGAGTTGTCTTTGCATGGGCAATGGAGACTGGACCAAAACATGTGTCTGTGTCCTCATGTCCTGGAAAAGGGATATACAAAAATACAACCTTCTTGTGGAAGTGACCACAAAAGGAAGGCTTAGGAAAAAAAACAAAATTGGTGTGGAGATTGGGGGCCAGCAGATGTGACCCAAGCTGAGGCCCCGCTGATCACTAGGCGTAAGGCTTTGATGGGAGTTTGTATGAACAAAACCAAAAGCCAAACAGCATAAACAAACAAGCCAAACGAGGCCCCTAAAGCCCAGGCTAGATTTCCTTTGCCGCTGGTGCCAAGACAAAACCAGCGAGAGCACAGCAGCAAATCCCATTAAACGGCGCGTGGGGTGAAAACAAGCGTACACTTACAAAACAAATACTGTGTTAATATGTATTTAAGATGCACAGAGAAGAATAAACATAATGGAGGGAAATATGGGACCTCCTTGCTCCTTGTTTCCTCTTCCTGACTTGTTTATAAGCACTTAAACGCACCCCTATAGGACATTTACAAATTAGACAGATCCTTTAATTAAATGTTGCCTCCGTGGCTTGGTTATTAAGCACTAATGGGCTTTAAGAAGTAAACTTTAACTGGTAATCCCTGCGCCAACTGCAAAGCTTTTAAAAACATCTTCTTGTACTTCCAGATATTTGCAGAGGCACACGGACAACAGGGGTGATAAATAAGTGCTTTACAGTTATGGTTTGTTGACAGAAGAGCTTAACATGGCAAATCCTGATTACCAACATTAAAAAAATATCAAAATGTATTCAAGATATGGCATTTGAGGAGAGAATATTAAAGTTTCATGTGTTAGCAAATGCACCAGACTTTGGACTTGTCTTAACAGTGACAAATGTAGTAAAAAATTAAGCATGCAGGATGCCAATCAGTTTTAAAAATCATGCACATAATTGGCAATCTTAGGATTGGCAGGAGAGCTGACATTATCGACAAGGGAGCTGGAAGATTTTTTTCCAAATCAATGGCCAAAATGATATTCAATTAGAATATCATTTTGGCATCTGATTCAATTAGAACATCTTGGAAAAAACACATATTAACACTTCAATTCAATTCAATTAGAACATCTTGGAAAAAACGCATATTAACACTTCTAAGATATCAAATGTAGGTGTATCAAATATATGTTGACACTTGAACATTTGTGGCTGAAATGAATTATTTCAGCAGATTTAACTAATCTCACCCGGGAGTCAGCTTTACTAATCACCCTGGGAGCCCGTTGTGTCATTTTGACTCAGCTTTCATCCCACCTTTTGACCTATTCTTTTCACTAGCTTAGCAATAGAGCAGAGGCAAAATGTGCCCACTTTAGCACAATTTAAGAATATTGCCCCAAAATAATCACAATAATTTAGATCTTCAAATATGGACCTTATCTGTGATTTGAACAGAGAGCTTTGACATGCTCATGTGATGGAGTCATTTTGGAGAATAAAATTCAGTATATGAAATATAGCTTTCCTAGGAGCATGAACAATTCACATTATTTTGCTTTTTGTTGCATTGGATAACATTATAACCACGTTAAAAAAAACACAAATAGATTTTCCCATCTTCCCAAAAATTAGGTGTGTTTAATGTAGCCTTATACAGCCAGAGCTCTACTATAATACAGCTCCCAATATTTAATCATGGGCCGCAAAGGTCACGCAATATTGAGCAGAATGGGGAGTGCATTGTAACTTTCTGACCTCGAATACTCCAGGGCAGCAATTAGCATATCCACCTGTCTAAACATCAATTACTCAGCTATGGCTATAATTAAGCATCAAAGCATCTTTGATATACCCTTCAAGTAACACAAATTATCGGCATGTAAAAGATGGCCTTAACACCATAAAACACAGTAGCATGATATGACTGGAACATCGTTGGACTTCTAAACATTTTGTGGGATCCATATTTGTCAATTTACATTACATGAATTATTCTGGAAATAATTTTCCACTGAATATCAATGTTACATAAAACTACAAAAATAACCTTCAAATGAAGCAGACATTCTAATGAGCCTTCAAATGAGCTAAAATGTATCAGAGAAATATGGAGGAAAACTGAAGCAAAATTCTCTTTAGAAAAATAGGGATCAATCGAGGTTGGAGAGGGAAAGTGAGGGATTTGGTCGGCATTTATAATTCTGCGCCAAAACGATTTTGACAGAAGAAGTAGAAGCACAAGAGTAAGCTTGTAGACACAAAGCAGAGCCGGGGTAAACACATGAGCCAATTGGTGCATCGGGGGAGCAGAGGGGTGCCCCGTCACCGCCGCCCCTCTAGTCCTATCCTGCCTTTCCTCTGCTCGAGAATTCACTTATCCCCAAATCCCTTTCCCGACTTTCCTGATAACAACAAGGAGCGGGCCTTGGGAGCTTAACATAGTGGCAAATCCGGCCCAGGGAGTGCGCTTGCCAATACACTCCGGTTACGTCCGCGGGGATTAGCGCTCTTTCCGGGTCTCCTCACCAGGGCGCGTCGTCTTGAAATGACTTTAATTTGTTTCATTTGAAATAAACTGCCCCGACACTCAAGAGTTCAATTTTATGGATGACCTATCAACAGTGTTATCCAATCACAGCGTAGAGATGTTGGGTGGACGAGCGTTTTGTGTTCGGTTCTTTGTGCGTTGTGTGTGCTATAGAATGTGAGTCAGTGTGTGCATGTCCTAATAGACAGAGACGCAGTGCACAGGCTGGGCTCTCGTGTGGCTTTGACTGCCTGCTCATTATGCATGTTTGCTCTATTAACTTTGCTTTCGGCTTAAGTGACAAGTGGAGCAGCGTGAGCACAGGGACCCAGCCAGCCAGCGGGGCGAACATATACATTATATTTATAAATGAATGATGGAAAGATTGATATTGCAAATTTTTTTTGGGGGGGGGGGGGGGGGGGGGGGGAATGCATGAATTGCCGGATAACAGAGTTTATTTACCAATTATTGTAAATGCTATTAAGACTCCAGAGTTAAAGTAGCAATATGTAAAATTGTCATGTAAAGTCCTCATTAAATGGCCATAATAAGTCAAAAGGTATTAATAAACCATGCACTTTTCAAATAGTTCTTTCTAATACAGCCCGTAAATCTTGTTTTCATTTCGATGTCCTGCCCTCCACCGTTTTACCAATCACCAAGTCTGTGATCCGGGGTTGCCAGAACTCACCGCGTTGAGCTAATCTCACTGGTAAAGTAACATGTGGCGTCAGTACTGAAAAGGTCTCGTTGTGATTCTCGTTATGATTCTCAAATCATTAATGATAAAACAACGAATAAAACAAGGATTTCTATGTTTGTGAAAAAGGAGTTGGTTATAGATCTATGTCTATTCAGATATTATGGTCCCAGCTGGATTCGTCTGCATATCTGGCAACCTGTGTCAGGGAGAGTGGGAGAGGTTGCAGTACCACTTTTGGCCAGATTTTTTATTATCAGAGATCATCCGTTATGGGCCAATGTAGATATAAGTTTGACTGGCTGATGACCAATTTGAAAGGCTGGTTTTTGAATAGCAAATTTGCATTTCTATCTTACTATTTTAAAGCAGCAAATACACATGGGGTTGGGGCTAACACATTAGGTAGCAATTAGGACGTTTTTCAAGGTTATTTGATGATGCCTTCATGGTTATTCATGTGAAGAGGAAGAGAGGAATACTTGATCCACTCGGCCTATTTTATTTGTTTTTAAGCTCATCTATTGCATGTGTGGTTATTTATATGCATTTTCTTTATTTTCACATAATTTGAATAAGTGATTACTTTGCTTGCATACTAAATACAATTGCAGCTGTAGTTTTACTGTAGTAATGTATAATGAACAAAAACATGAAACAAATACAAAGAAATGGATGACGCTATAAATGCTATATAAAAATCACTTATATAGCGTAAGTGTTTTCATTCATTTATAGTGACATACTGACTTCACGCTGAATAGTATACAATTCATTATGTATCCAAGTAAAGCTAAAAAGACGTGGGAAGTATTTGTATTTTATAACCATTTCTATCCACATTGATAGTACTTATGTGTTTATGATCTGGTGACAGATTTTTCCTTTCAACTTGCAATGAGTAACTATTGCAGGCAGAACTACAGCACTTGGACTCGGAAGAGTAAAGCAAAGGTGCAAAGTGAAGGGACATAGTAAACACATAATTTTCAAAGTATTTGGCTGCTGTCACCGCTGTTGCCTTTTTTTTACTCAAGTAGTTTCAGAAGTGCCTGCACTCTTGAGTGGAGTAGTGAAATTAAGTACTTTTGCCACCTTTGAGCGACAGATGCCTTTATCCAGGCACTACAGAGCCGACTAGGCATGCTATCAAATCCAACATTTAGAAAAAATCTGTAGAAATGTTCTGTTACTGGAAGACACAAAGGGATTTCCATGGGGGGAAAACAAGATATGTATATTGTGAGATGAATAATGTGAGACGAGCGTTGACATGGTGAGTGTACTAAAAGATGCTTACATGGAATATCACTTTATCGTTAGCATGTTAGCCTCAGACAGCAAAGATCACATTCATGTTTTTGCTAATTAAACGTTATAATCTTGCCATGTCCCTCTTCAATCCAGTTTATAAGACTGCATAACCTTAACACAATATGAAGTATGCGAAGAATGACATAGCATACAGTAACTTCTAACTGTTCCCAAGAGAAGCTGCCCACTCAGAACTCACACTAAGTAGGATAAAAAAGTGGAGTGGTGTGAAGACGATACTTGTATTTGTGTGTGCATGTGTGTGTGTGTGTATGTGTGTGTGTGTGTGTGCGTGCGTGTCTAAAGCTCAGATGGTCCTGCTCGGTGACACCACAGGGGCTGTCGTGGGTGTTTACATAGATTCTATGTGGAGATAATTCTCACACTGGAACCCCCATGGACTCCTCGACTGTCCATCCAAAAACAAACTGTGGCATATGGGACCTGTAGTTAAGGAAAGTTTTAAAAACACAAAGTCGAGATTATTTTTTTTCCCACTGAAACAATGAATAGCATGAACAAGAAGTAGCACACTTGATTTAAGGGCTTGAAAAATTATTGCATTTACTTACAGCCTTTTATTATTATTCTTTTTTAAATGTGTCAAAATAATTGAACGCATAGATTCACGTCAGAACCATACTGACATGTGACACGTGTATAAACAGGGATCTTGTGTTAGCGCATGTAGCTCCTCTCTCGTCTTCCCTCGCACCCCTGCGGTTATATTGTGCCAAATTGTGGTAAATAAGAAACGTGAGGAAGAGCTATGAAAGAATAGGCTGAATAGGATTTGAGTATATTGAGATGTGTGGAGATGAAGATAAAAGATGGAGATGTAATTGAAAATAAACGTTATTCATATTGCCCCTTTAAAATATAATTCAGAACTGAAATTCTGTGCATTACAATTAGGGGCATGCTAAAAAACATAAACAATGATTTTTAGATTATTATCATTATCTTTTTGTGTTAGATACAATATAGTTTCTGTAAGTGTTATATATATAGTGTTATTTTTTACCACATGTAGGCTCTGTAAGACACCCAACCCTAATTGCTATGCATAAGCTAATATTGAAGCAGAATACAATTGCCATATACATTAAAAAAACACTTTCACTAATTGTACGTAAATCATTCATTAACAAGAACCTTTATAAAGAGTTTGGATATCTCACACGACATATACCTTTGAAATAATTCCTCACTCTTCTTAGGTTTTGATCAAAGTGACCAACAGGCTGTGGATATGCCAGACATACCCTGAGAAACATTACTCCACAAGCCCTATGCCACAAGGAGAGGCAAGAGGCCAAGTCACTGCTGCCATCTACAATCCATTCACCACGCCGCACACCGTGAGAGCTCCTGCTATAGCTGGAGGCAAACACGCTCTGATACCCTGCTAATGTTCTTTAAGCCTGGACCCAAGTGAAAACCATGGCAATAAATATCCAGGCGCCCCGGTGATCACTGCCGAGCCTTGGCACATAACAAGAGTGCATTTGTTATTTTTGTCTGCCATCTAAAGGGGATTTGGTAATTACTTCTTTGTTTGTGATGGAGATTTTACACCTGCCATCCCACAGCAGTATTTAGTTTCAAATAATGCCACTTGTAAGGGTGGCACGAATGAACCGTCACACTTTGTAAGTGGCACCACAGAATGGATGGATATATTGTAAGTAGTGTGTGCAGCATTAAACACTGCAGCTTGTTTATTGTTTTGCTCCTGCTCCAAGGTTACAGTAAGAACAATAGCTTTACATTATTTCACTAGTTCAGTAACGAGCTATTGATTTTGAATAGGCACATTACAGATTTTAAACATTCTGCTTTCTGGTATAAAACAGCTGCTGGGTTTCCATTTGAACTGTAGATTTTCTCTCACATTGATCTTCTATGATTGCGTCTTTTTTTCTTTCTTTCTTACAAGATTGTGCAGCCCAGCAGGAGGGCGTTCGGTACTCACCCTTGCGCTCTGTCCGGCAATAAGCTGGTCATCTTCGGTCTGGATGCTGGTCCTGCTGCGAGTATCATAGTCCTCCTGCTCAAAGTCTGAGTCGTCCTCCAGCTCCTCTGGTGTCTAGAATGGCACAAGGACAGAGCTCGGTAAACAATCAGACAGTGACAAAGAAGCAGCGCTTACAGGCAGCATGTGGCCTAACTCCCATTTTCACCATTCTCATGCCAAAGGCTCTAGCTAAAGAGGTCACTTTATGAAGATAACATGTTGAGAACACAAAGAGGAAAGACTGAGATTCATGTTAGTGATGAATTATATTAAAACTAAAGCTTGAGATAAATTGTAAGCTAGTAGAGTATTATATTAGTATAACGGATTCAATAATGCACATAAATTAAGGTCATAATAATGTATACAAATACAAAGTACCCGGAAATGTTGTGACTGCCAAAAACAATGGGCCAACAACCTAATATTGCATACATCAAAAACATTGTAAAATCATTCTGACTAATCAACTTATGTTTCTGCTCTCCGAGTTAGTAACTAATAAGCTTCCTAAGATGCATGACTCTCAGTTGCTCACATTGAGAAGTGTAATTATTCAAGCCGTTGAGTTAGCATTTTGAGTTATTCCTTTGGAGATAGCAGTCTCGGTTACCATAGCAACAGATGCAGAACATGTGTTGTGACCTGTGGTGAACAGGGGTGGTTCAGTGAATCACATCAAACCCGTGAACATGTGTAAAGTCATCAGTGGCTCACACACTGACATTTACAGGGCTGCTGCATTCAAGGCACTGACACAAGCTCTGCAGCAGAGAACATCCTTACTCATCGACACTTCACACCATCACACTGTCATATCCAATTCATAAACACCAATCTGTAGAGTTTGGTGCAGGTCACCCGTGTTTCCACTTTCCTATGTGAGCAGTACCGGCACGTCACAGCAGGCTACGTCCTTCCCAGAAGCAGCACCAGGGGTGGTGTGATCTGGAGAAGGCAGGTGGAAGTGAGAGCAGCAGACTCGACCAATCACAGCTGTAAAGAATAAGGTTTCTTTCTTTGCAGTCTGTTCCACATCTAGTTCTGACAGTGGAAACAGAATTTGATGAACCCTATTCCGACTTTCCATGAGTCAAAAGTTCCAAATGTTAATCATTGTTGCTGGGGGTGATTTTTTTTTTAAGTTAACCATGTAGTTCCGGCAAATAATGTATGGTCACAAGATGCTCAACACAGCAAGTGCGTCCTTCAAACACACATAAATATCATTTTCAGAAGCCACATGTTTACCTGAGGAGGAGGGTGGATGGATATTTTTACATTTTACGTGATCACCATTTTCACAAAATAGGCCGGGTGCAGATTATGTGCAAAACAAATGGGGCATGTGAGGGGGTGGGGTGGGGTGCCAGAGGATAAGCGGCTTAAGGAATGAAACTGTGCCTCTTAGTGGAGGTTTGTGCTCTACGAGTCTGATGCTTGTCTAGTTACGTTTTGTGAAAACATTCATACATACATATACCGGTACACAGAACACTCTCAAAAATTCGTACCACAGTTTGGATAATGTTTAGTTACAGCCGTTAATTGGAGAATAATTAAATGATTCATCCGTTTTTAATAATTGAATGAATGTGATATATATTTATTAATGCAGACTAAAGATAATTAAATAGTATAAAAAGGAGAGCAGGGGTAAATGTAGCCTGAAAAGAAATGTTCCTAAAAAGAAACAGTTGGACATAATCCATTATGAATTCCCTGATCTTTGGTGTGCTGCTATTCCACATAAGTAGAAACAACATTAGAGAAGGCAAAGATCTCCAAGTTGTATCCTCAGAAAGTAATAGAAGTTGGATAGGATTATGAAGCCAGCTGGTCGCAGGCAGTTCAAAGCTGCCTGTTTTACATTATTTACCAACATCAAATTATTTTCCATAATTAGATTTTTTTTACAGAGCTGTGCTGGGAAAGCTTCCAGCCTGCATAAGTTGAAAAAAATGAATTACATGGTGAAGAAAGAAGGGCCAGTTAGGGTGAAAAATGCAGATCCAAGACCATTGGCTTGAGACTAGCATCAAACACTTGCACAATGTTCCCGTGCTTCATTAAACAGTTCATGTGATGGCCGTGACATCTCAAATGAGAATTCAATTGAAATTTAATTATGTATTCTGTTTTCCACTTTTTTTCCACCTTTAAGCCAAAATATATTTTTATCTTCTGTATTCTATCATGTATCTCTGTAACAAGTAATATTGTTGGCACACTGATAACATCCCCCATGTATACTGTAGTTAAATTTAGTAAAACTGCCTTAAGAACTGCTGAGTCATGTCGCATGTACGTAAATGAACTGCTGTGGTTCAAGGGTTTTTAATATGAATCACCAACATTCATGAGAGGGAGAATGAACTTGTGAATATTACCCAGACTGCTTTATTCATTCATTCAAATGCGGTCATAACCCATAACTATGTTTTTTCGGCACTATTCAACATATTTTTTCTCTTGGGCTGGATTTTCTAATGGCCTCTGGACATGCTACCACAGTTTAATGTCACACAAAACATTCCCAGCACTTTAGGCCGGGGTACTTTGCACTTTGCTTTGCTACAGAACTAATACTAAAGTCTTAAAAATCGTGGGTCAAAAAGTGAAGTTGAGATTTTTGTTATAAAAGCTACAAAGCTACAGCACCATTTTTGGCCCTAAATCACAACACTAGTTATTTCAGAGGATAGAGTTGAATTCGCCAACACAGATCAGAGAATGAAACAGTTCCAAGACAATAAATGCAACAATAAAAACACATAGAGCCATTGGTCCATAAGGGGAAGATTGTTATAGTTTATAGTGAGGTGTAGCTTAGTGTAATGTAAGAATATTGCTTTATAAATAAAAAGCAAAGCATTTTCAAGACTTCATCTTCCTTGTAAGTCTGTAAATCAATAACTCTCCCGGGACAGGCAGTGATATTTGGGCAGCCAAAGATCTAACACTATTGTCACTTTTGGATTTGCAGCTGGTGGCAGAAACAAAACAAACATGTGGGATATCTTGCTGGACATACCCGTATCATGAGCACAGCTTTCCTGATGTCGCGGACGCCGTCGTAGACCAACCGCGACGCATCGATAAACTCGTTCTCCTCAAAGGCTTGAGGCGGGTTTGTGCTCAGAGCCTCGATGGCCACCTCCACCTGCTCAGCGAAACGAGGCATGACTGCAGAGACAAGCAAAACAAAGAGGAAACACATTTACAAGCGATACAAGTTTAGACAGTGAAGAAGTTATTTGTGTTTGGACATGAGGAAACGCACTCATCCGTACGCCGAACGTTTCTGTATCACTTTCATATTATGTGTTGTGCAATGCAGTGCTGTGATTAAATTGTATTTTCGTACTGATTTTCATATTGAATTAGTTGACTGATGATTCTTTTGAGTAATTGATTCATCTTTTAGATTCTGAAAGCTCAGTGAAGACGAGATTTCTAATTTGACCAAATACAACCTCTCTTAACAACAGAGCTCTCATTTGAGCTGTTTTCCTCCCGATTTTTAATTATCTTAACATAAAATATTTAGTCATATTGGCAGATATTTTCACATTTGCAAATTAAGGAAAACCTTTTTCTTATTTCAGATGCTGTAAACTAAATGAAAATCTGCTAACAAATTGTTTGAATTTACAGTGACTTGTTTTATCACATTAATTAAACAACCTATTTTCATTTGATTCTGCAATCATTATAGAATGAGTCATAAAACATCTTCTCAGTATCTTTAAGTCTGTGTAAGAGTTCAATTACTAAATTACTTGATGACTATTGCAGTAATCAATAAGTTGTGATTAATTGATGAACTGGCCTAGTGCAATGCAGGAGCAAATCATCCGGTAAAATTATCCAATTCATCCATTATTTCACCAAGTAGTCTTGATTAGCTTTAGCTCACATTTTACTTTGACCGAGCCCCGGTGATCAAAGATGGCGACCTATTCAAAGGAATGGCTTGTGCTCAGTAGCGCATGGGACATATATTTGGGGATCGTCTGGTCCTACTGGTTCTGTGCAGTGGATGAGCTCCCATGATGTGTTGCGCCAAATACGTGAGCATAAGAGGCCTCAGCCACGCTTTGACCAATCAGAGCTGCAGATCAGAACCGAGGTACAGGAGTAAGAGCAGAGTTAGAGCGGGAAAAAACGAGCAGAGTTTGTCGCATTAAAGTGTGGATTAACAAAACAAATTAAGGATTTAACAAATAATAAATAAAAAAAAACAGGATGACAAGGGACACTAAAATCCCCAGAAAATCTGCTGTAGGTTTTCTGTCAGCTGAGGTTGAGCTGTTTTAGTTCACCTTGAGTTCTATGGGACATTTTTCCACATGGATTTACTGTACTCTGCAGTACCACGGGAGCTCCCAGGTGCGACAGCTATAAGCTAGTAATACCCTATTTAGATTTTATTATAGATCCATGACTTTGACTTGCTTCCCTGTCATATCTGTTGCTAAGTGCGTTGCCAGGGAAAACATGTTGCTGATAAAAGATGCCTGAGCATTGGCGACGTTAAGTCGAAAGCTTAGGCAGTGAAATGCTGGTGGACAGAAATAAAATCATCAAACTCTTTTCAAAGGAACAAAGCCACAGGTAACAAAAGAAATTCTCCATTGACTGGAAAAATGGCAGGCTTTTTGTTGTTGGTATCAATTGGGCTGGACCCGGAATAGCCTAATGCTCTCTGTATGACTGACTGAATTGTGGTGAATAGGAATTAATAAATATTCAAGAAGAGGAAGGCGAATGTGCAAATATGTAACAAGCCCAACCTTGCCTCATAATCTCTTGTTGAGTCACAATAATTGAATGCAGTGTCCAATAATGTGATTCTTTTAATATGCACTGGTGTGGCAGAGAATTAGCATAACAAAAGCAAAGGTTTACTTGGACTGGCAGCTGCAAAAAAAAGTCACATTCTTCAATCAATATTTTTCCAGTCAAATGGTGCAAACAGTACAGGGCAAAGGAAAAGAGAAGGATTAAAAAAAAAAAAACACACAAACATAAAGCAGTACAACATTCTATTCTGCGTATTATAATATATTTGGAAGTGTGCGTTTTTATGCTTACAATATCAGCTCAGTCAGAATGGAGCAAACGATAAAACTTAAATGAGAAGAGTTTCGGAAAACATTTATCATTTGTGAACCGTCTTTTTCCCCAGTTATTTGAAGTACTGTTGGAACCAAGAAATGTACTGTACGTACACGGAAGCAGAGAGAATACTGTGTGAGAATATAATATAGGCTGTCTTAAGGCAAGGTTAGCTTTGAAAGGGTTATGCGTTTGACTAATGGATGACAAGCACCCAAAATGGAGCAGAAGTCAGAAAAAACACTAGCAAAAAGGACAATAAAGTACAGCAGCTCGGCGGATGAGCCCCACTGAGAGCCAACTGTGAGATTTTATCATTCCCCTCCACACTCTGCTTCTCGCTTACATGCACCCAGCACTGAATCAATTAGCCAGCTTGCACTAAAGGTGGATCTGCATTGTACTTATTTGTCTAATATAAAATTAAGCAATATTTCACTGCACATAAAAGGCTCTACACAAAGTATTCCCCCCCTTTTCTTTTCCTTTTTAATTCACTTTAATCCACTTACTGGAGAAGCGTAAAATAGGCTTTTGGGAATTGCTGGGAAGGCTTTTTAAATAGAAATATTTAAATGTTCTCCAAGCTCTTAATGAGCAAAGTTGCTGATGGTAAAGGAGCAATTTCACTCATTCCAGTTGAAAAATGATGAAGGGGATTAAATGTGACCATGTAGGAATGGATTTTCCCCCTTTACCCCCGCAGGCTTAAGCATAGTTAGAGTGAAAAGTTATAGCTGTAAAACCAGCGGCTCATTCTATAACCTGAGCACATCTGATCTCAGGGATTTCATTATATTGAAATGTAATACAAAATACTACTACTACCAGAGGTGGGACAAAGTCATTGTTTAGCAAGTCACAAGTCAGTCTCAATTCATTGCCCTCAAGTCCCGAGTCAAGTCACGAGTCAAGACAGGCAAGTCCCGAGTCGAGTCCAAGTCAAAGGCCAACAAATCTCAAGTCAGTCCCAAGTCCTACGGTTTGACTTTCGAGTCCTCTCGAGTCTTTTCGACCGCGATTTGTTTCTTGTTGGTCTCCACGTACTTTTGTAGGCAAACAAAATAATGTTAGGAATCATTTTGCTGGTGCATTCTCGTTGGTCTCTGACCCATGGACTAACAGTTTGTTCCATGTCGTTGGCTGCTGGTAAATCAAAACTATCTACGTGATCTAATTGGATGTTGTGCCAGATGCAGGCTCAGTTACACATGCACAGACCACACATAAAATCAGAGCAGTCCGTGTCAACATACTTTTTATCTTTGGGGTTTTTAATGGGAAGTAGCAAGTGCAGCAGTGCAGCATATATGAATATGAGTATTGGGCTAGGACCTGTATCTATATAATCAGTTTAATGTCCGTAGTGGTTATTGTTCCAAAGGACTGAAGGGACCAATGGAGGGGAAGGACCCTGGCCTGTATGAACTGGACCAGCATTAGTAATATCTCATAATTACCAATATATCATTACATAATAAAATGTCTCATATAAATTAATTCAATCAGTCAAAGCACTGATTCTCATATCAATGCACCATAAACAATAGTGCAAATATTAATCTAGCTTAGTGCACATAATCAAAACAACTATCTAATGTATGCAAACTTTAGCAGGAGGAGCACAGCAAAAACATACTCATAATAATAGGCCTCGGCGCCCACACAGAAAAATATAAGAAATAGCTAACAGAGCAGCGCAGGCTAGCGTTAGTTTGACTCACCAGTTCCTCTTTAAAACACGGCACACAGTGTGACAACTGCGTCGATTCAATTGTATGAGGCGCCTGTAGTGAAAGCATATCAATTACGGTTTGTAGAACAAAATATGACGTTAGGTCGCGATAAATACCTGCAGCTCGCTCATTTCCAGCTCCCCTAGACAACACACCCACCGGTGAATGCAGTGTGCTTGTTTAGGGAAGTGTTGCTGCGCGAACTGCGGGGAACTCACGTTCGAACTCTCTCGCGAGCGCTACAACTACCGCGAGGCTTTGTTTCTTCAGAGACGGTGTTCTGCCGAGTTGTGCCGCTTAGATAGGCATAGATAGAAAGAGAGATGCGGAGAAAGGTAAAAATGGCCCGGGTTACGCAAGTCTTTGCAAGTCAATTGGCGCAAGTCCAAGTGAAAGTCAGAGTCATTGATGTTAAAGTCCAAGTCGAGTTGCAAGTCTTTTTACATTTGGTCAAGTCGAGTCTAAAGTCATCAAAATCATGACTCGAGTCTGACTCGAGTCCAAGTCACATGACTCGAGTCCACACCTCTGACTACTACTATGACAAATTGCCTGATCTGATGTATGCATCAGTGTTTGTTGCAATTCCAGGCACTTCTTGAGAATCCAAAGTATCGAATATGGTGCCACCAGTATCCTCAACATGCACATATCTACGTAGCTAACATAGATAATGCTATGGCTAATGAATTTTATTTTTATTTTTATTTGAAAAGTTTCATCCAAGGTCTCATTGGACATGTGGCAGTGGTGGAAGGGGAAACCTACGCAGACACAGGGAGAACATGTAAATTCTACTCTGAAAGGCCCCATACTACCTGAGAGTTGAACCCAGGACCTTCTTGCAGAAAGGAAGCTCTAACTGTACCACTGTGTCAAACATAAATTATATTATGAAAAAGCACTGCCTTTAGGAGGAAAACTTTATTAGATACTATAATGCTTTTAAGCTGCAGTAATATGCACAAATGTAAAGAACAAAGTAGGCTTCTTTAACTGCCCACTGGTAATCATTTAATTTAAACAGAATTACTCATGAAGCGGGTTTGAGTGTCCAAAAAAAGCGTTATGTAGAACTGCTGAAATATGAGTCATTATATTATAATTATCATCAAGCCAAAAATTGTGTTTACATACACACTGGTATCAAGATTTGCAATAATCTTTATTTCGTTTGGAACTAAATCATTGAATTTGGACACCTCTAATTATTTTAGAAATTTATAAAAAGATAATTATAGTCCATAATAAGTGCACACTATAAACCTCTAAATGTCCATGCTTCTCTGGCCTGCAGCCCTGGTCTTGTTGTGAGCTCTAAACGATCTC